GGTGGTTGGAGCTCATTTGTGGTGTGGCCATGGCGTGTGCAGGTGTGCTCAGGCTCAGCTTACACAGAGCCACTTTGCTCTTGCTGAGCCTGGGCTGCAAACCCCTCAGAGGATTTGATCCCTTTAATGGCTGGTTTTGCTGAATGCAGGTTGCTGTCATTGCTTGTGCCCCGCACCTCTAAGCATATTAGCTTAAATTCAGCTTAAGGTCTGTACATGCTGCAAGCAGCCTTTGACTGCAGTGGCAGCACACCTTACATTTCATAGAAAGGTTCCAAGCTCTGGTCCTTTGCCACTCCATAAATTCTTTAAAACCACAATGTGCTGAACATCAAAACATAGTGAAAAGTTTTTCTTTTTTGTTTTCTCTGACCTTTTCTGAGACAGTGTTTTCTGTTAAATGATGCACTACCTATCCCCATTTTCAAAGCTCAGAGGATTTCAGTTTTAGAACACATTTAAAATGCATATTTCATTTTTTTTGGTTGTTGCTGATGCATATGTACCCAGAGCTAACAACAAATAAATAAAAAATCATGGAGTGAAATCTAATTGAAAAAGTGCCTAGAGTTAAAAACACATTGTTCCCTAGTAGAAAGAAAAAGTTATGCATGATTTACCATTTCAGCTTACTGGGATTTAATTTTGAGGTTTAAGCAGATTTTTGTATATTTAGATGGTTGAAACTAATGGCTGGTTTTGTTTTTATTTTCCTTTTTAAAAACATTTATACAATAATTTCCTACTGCAGAAAAGACTTATTAGATTAGAAATTAACCAGCTGATGAAATCTTTTTCAGATCTTTCAAACACATAGCTCTGCTGTTCTGCTACTCCTTTAGTGTAGAACAGACTCCAACCTCTCTTCCCTGGTTTAGGAGACATCTCTGGCAGAATCATTCTGGACTCAAATGATTTCCTGCCCTTGTTAACCTTCATTTTCCTTTGGTGACAATGTTCCCTTCACCTTCTTGCATGTTGGGCTCTTGACTCCTGTATAACATGATTTTGATCACTTCATCCTTCCTATTGCCTGGCTTATCAGGGATTCATTAAGTGCAGGAGAACTTTGCTCCCTGTTTTTGCTGGAGGTGCAGAGGTCTGTTCCCACGGTGTGTATTGCAAGTGCAGGAAACATCTTTCTCGGTCTTGTCGTCAGAAAAGTTTAGCTGGATGTAGACACAGAGTTTAGACACTTCTTTAGTCCCAGAAGACTGAAGTTTGACAATGTGGTAACATCTAGGGTTTGAAATGGCAAGATTCAGGTAATTTTAAAGGAAGGAGTGGTCCCTCTGTGTGTCAGATTGAGTGCTGTCATCAGTTGTGCCTCCACTATCAGACTGAATTTCATTTCTTATTGTATCAAGAGAATTTGAGAACACAGACTCTGCAAGGTGCTTGCGTCAAGAAACTTGGGCTTTGTTTAATCATGAATGTCTAATTTAATTCCAAAGTTTGAACATCCATTCCTCAAAAGTATATTTCTGGATAAATTTGACGTTGTCTACATCCTTCGTATGGCTTCAAGTGTCTCCTAAATGGAAATGGTTGTACGAAAATACCTGGTTCAGAGCTACTTCTTGTGTCCTCTCCTGATCCAAAGGCCTTAGAAGTCCCTGGGAAGGTCTCCCGTGACTGACATTTGTAATACTTAAGTAGATGATATGTGTCAGACAGGAATTTGGTTCCAAACTTGACACATGAAATGCAATTTTGAAGTAGGTGGTTTTTCAGTTGGAAGATTTCTGTAGCTGAGATGATTGATGATGAGCAGGCTGAATGTCCTCATCTGATTAGGACATGATAAAATACATCAGTCAAAACCTCAAGGGGCTGGATTGGACGGTTCATAACATAACGAGATATTCTCAGTTAGAGAACACAGATGTTACAGGCAGTTGGCTCAGTTGACTAAATACAGTTATAGAGTCACAAATGTTCCTCCCAGATGGTTTGGATCTTCACTATCAAAAATGTGTGTTATTTACACGATGCTAGAACCAAACAGGATTACATGCTCCACTCAAAATTCCTGATCACCTTTCTGTTCCTTGAGTGCTGAGGTTGCTTCTGTTAGAGCAGATGCTCATCCTGTAGTAGAAGGGTTTCCAAAGTATTCATCACCGAGCACAAAAACAGTTAAAAGAAAAATGAAATTAAAGGCAGCTGGCAATCAGTTGAGTTTAGAAAACTGAATTTCTTAATAGCTCAAACTTAATTCAAAGCAGTTAGTCTTTCAGGTAATTTCCACCAAGGAGATTGTTGCTGAATCTCAGGCAGAGCTTTGCATGTTAACCACTGTGCATTCATCATCAGCAATTTTTTGAGTATGAAGGTATGGACTTGATCCAACCCAGTCCTCAGTGCAATATATCACATGCTCACTTAGTATGTGCTTAATTGCTCTCTTCTAGGTAGTGCTTTATGAAAGAGGCTTTTAAAGTTTCCAATATTGTCTTTATATTTTGCAAGATTAGACATGGAATGTGAATGCTCAATAAATATATCTCTGATATCTTGGTCTTAAAGTAAGGAGTCAGACTGAACTGGCTTTAAAATTTACAGTGAAACTTATTTAAAGGTATTACTCTTTGGAAATAATAAATTACAGTTTCAACTAGAATGAAATATTTCTCTTTGTTTTGTACATAAGAGATGTGATTGTTTTCTGTGTGTATGAAAAAAAAAAAGACAGCATAAACTCTCTCCCAGACTTTGAATTAAATGCTGTTCAAATTAGTTGTTCAGATGCTAAGCTGTCCTCTTAAGTGAGAGAGAGAAGATGTAGTGTCACACTGTAAACTGTCCTGTTCAAGGGTTGACTCTCCCTTTGGGTTTGTGCAGTAGAAAGTGCGGTGTAAGCTGTGTTGCTGGGAGGAACTTAAACTACTGGGTGCAAAAATGGAGACTCCCAAGTTTGAATTCCAGGTCTTTAACTCCTTCCCTAGCCTTAATCTTGGTAAGGAACGGTGAATCTTTAAGTAAAATGGAAACAATGGAAGTAATGCATCTCTGCTTGACCAATGCAACAGGATTTGGTCCTGCAAAAAACCACCCTGCTGTTTTCTCCCTCTGGTTTCACAGCAAGTTATAAAATCAAGGTTAATTCACTGAACCACACTGAAGGATTATTTAATGAAGTACACTATTAAACTACTCTATAGTTTTCTTTTTTTTTTTTAATGTAGATGTTGTTTCTGTGGGGTGGGACCTTCATTCAGTAGTCCATTGTCCCCAGTCCATTGTGTCATGAATGTTGTAAGGGACTTCCCAGTTTACTGGAGCAGTTGGCTGCTTAGAGTGCCTCACAGTCATATATCCTAAAGCAAATAAGTAGATATACATTTAGATGGAAATAAGAATGATGAACTACATCTCTGTCTTGTGTAAATGCAAAATACAGAAATCAAAATGGGAAAATTCCACTTCCCTCTGTGGCATTAGTCATCGTGAGAGCTTGAATGCAAATATAGAGCTTCAATTTATTAAGGATTTGGGGATCTGAAACACATTCCAACAGGATTTGAAAAGCATACAAGAACTGTGCCAAACAGATTACATCTAGAAATATCAGATGTGTGTTACCCTTCAAATGTTAGTTGGGAAAAGGGAAAGAAGATGCAAAAGAGGAAGAAACAGAGGTGCAAAAGAGATGTATGTTTTTCTGGTATGGAAAACTCCAGAAACTCCAGTCTTTTACTGTTTGATAATATAATTAGCTAGTGTTTTGACTAGACTGATTTGATAATGATGCATAGAAAAGGGCAATTTAATCTTGGCGCAGTAACTAGGAATGTTTGCCTCATTGCTTTCTATGTCTTAATTTCTACTTTAAATTAAATGTCTTCAGCTTCTGAATGTTTTATATTAGAAACCTTCCTTTACAAACCTTCTATTTTGAGCCACTAATTAATTTAATGCACAAGTTAGATATATCATGGGATTGCAATAGATCAGGAACATATTTTTGTTCTCTTTCTGCATCTCTAAACTCTATTAAGATACAGCACAAACCATTTGTGTATTGAGGAGGACATGCACATTTCTTATTCCCTCTCAGATGTTTCTATTAACTTCTTGATGGTCCTTGTGCTCTTATTCCCTAAATATTTGTACTTCCATTTATTTGTACTTCATGTATCTTGTGTGAAAAAAAATCAAACCACTGCACAAACACTTGCTTTAGAAAAATATGTCTGTTGACTGGAAAGGAAATTAACCCTTTATGCAAAGGCATGTGCCTTGTGGTCTGTATTACCCTCACTCAGAAGGGTGATGTGACCAGAGTTGTTAATTCCGTGTTCAGTCAGTGAGCCTTCCTATAACTAACAAAAGAGCCACACTTATGTTACCTGGGGTGAAGGTTATTAAGGGGTGGAGGCTGTTGGACTAGAGGAAGCCACTCAGCTCCTCTTTGGTGGATGAGAGTGACAATAGGCAGATTTCTCTTGAGTTACCTGCTATGATTACTTTCTGATGTTTCTTTGGAGCATCTGTTAATGTTGAGGGTTGTTGAAGTAGGTAGACCACTGTTTTGACCAGAATAATAATCCTCTGCTTGGATTTAATAGAATACTCTTCTCTGAGAAACTTTGAGAAGACTCCACTTGGATGGTGTAGTTCCATCTGTGACTGCTCTTCCACCTCGTTTGATCTCCTTGAGGTCAAAACAGTCTCCTGTTTACTTCAAACTGCGAAGTATTGAATCACTCCTTTTAGTAATAAACTTGCCATTTCCCACTTTGGATTCTACAGAACTCTTGCTTTGAAAGACTGAGCTCAAACAAAATAATTTATCCACCTAATGAGTGCCGAACTTGATTCAGCCTGATGGGGACAAAAGCACTGTAGGGGGAGAAGGGTTTGATTTTGTATTCTGTTATCTGAGGCCTGAAAAACTGTATAGAAAGATTTAAAGGGGATGTAGGAATTGCTGTACAGTCTTCTGTGCTAACCAGCAGGATATATCAGATCAAATAACGATTTTTATTCTTTTCTAGGGAATCAGTAGCCTCTTCAGTTCCTTAAAAGTGGTGCGTCTTCTACGGCTCGGTCGAGTTGCCAGGAAGTTGGACCATTATCTGGAATATGGTGCTGCTGTGCTGGTGCTGTTGGTGTGTGTGTTTGGGCTGGTGGCCCACTGGCTAGCCTGCATATGGTACAGCATTGGGGACTACGAGGTTATAGATGAACTCACCAACACAATCAAAACAGACAGTTGGCTCTACCAGTTGGCCCTGAGCATTGGGACACCATATCGATACAACACCACTGGCTCGGGGCAGTGGGAAGGAGGACCCAGCAAAGACTCCTTGTACATATCCTCTCTCTACTTTACCATGACAAGCCTTACAACGATAGGATTTGGAAACATAGCACCGACCACTGATGGAGAGAAGATTTTTTCCGTGGCCATGATGATGGTTGGCTGTAAGTAGAACTCAATTTTGCTGCGTTTAACCCAAGGGGAGTTCTGTGGCTGGCATGAGGGTTGCGTAGCACGCTTGCTGTAAGCTTTCTTGACATCCTAAAAAATCTGAAGGCCCTGTAAATAATCACAAAATGAACTCAGAATTATGGAAAGCGGGAATGGAAATTATGTAGCTGCTGTAGCTTTTAAGTTGTTTGCAAAACTAAGTGTTCTGGGTACATAAGTGTGCCCACAGACAAGTTTATGTTGAATTCAGGGCCTCAACTTTTCACTTTAAAGATGGCTTTTATCACATTTGAAAGGTCTTGGCTAGAATTTGGTTAAAAGTACAAAGTGTATTCCAATTCAGATAGTCTGACTGAGTTTTGCTTATAAACTTGCACAAGCTTGGAAACATTTCATGTGGTTTTATCCAATTCTTGAAATATTTAGTGATTCTATAAAGTGATTGTGTACTTTATTGTAATGGTTTGAGTTACAAGTCCGAATTTTATCTTCTGAATGTGGTGACCTTTGTCACTAGCAAAGCTAGAAGTGAAGGAAATGATAAGACACTACACTGCACCTTTTCTCTGCTTCCTGCTGTTTCACAGCTCCACTGAAATACTCTAAAATCAATAGTGGTAAGGCACATTTCTCATTTCATGTACTGGCAAGGTTAGACCACTGAGCATCTCTACAGGTTAATAGGAATCTTCCAAAGATAGTGAAGACAACTTAAAATGTTAATACCATTTCAGAGAATTATTTTTCTGTTAAATAATTCTTGGTATTTCTCTGTTGCTTTCTATTTTCTGAGCTCCATACAAACACTAAGCAATTATGTAACAAGAGAGCAAACAAAACCTTTTGATAATAAGATCTGCATAATCTCTCTGATAATTATCTCAGCTAACACTTTGAGCTCATCTCAGAGAAATACTGAACTATAAAAAGGAAGCTTTCTTGCTACAGTCTTTCTAGGTCTTTAGAAGATTAAATCCATTTGTTTGGAGATTTTGAAGTGCTTTTTAAAGAGAGGTTGCGGTTTTAGGACTCTTCTTGCAGTGTGGTGCAATGAAATTTCTGCTGAACATCATCTCTACATGATGGGTTGATGTGTTCCAAAACATTTCCAACTTCATAAAAAGCAAATCCCCAAGGCAGAGCATCAATGAGCTGTTGCAGACAGGTCATCAAAACCCTCTAGGTGCTGTTGTGCCATTTGTTGAAACTGCTTTGTGGTATTTACAGAATCTGGAGACCTGGAGAATAAAGTGAATATACAGGATTTTATATATATATTGTAATGTTTATGTCCCTTGGGGTTTTTTTGGTGGGGACTTCTGTTGTTCTGCAGAGGAGGGTCCCACAGAAGGAACTCAGTGGTAGATGGCTTAGGGTGGAGTGAGAGCCATAAAAACATAATGAATTATGTTCATAAAAACATTATGAATTACTATTTATAATGATAACAACAACAACAAAATACATACATGGCCTCAGTAAGTGAAAATGAAGTGGTGATTGTAACCTGCTTTGTATTTGTTCTAGGTGGATTGTGTTCTTGCTTTTTCATCTCTGAAACATGTTAAAGATGGGGAAAACACATTGCAGTATCAAAGCTGGCTTTTACCACAGCCTATGTATGTGCCACTGTCAGATCTTAAAAAGTTTTTATAAGTACTACGTACAAAATTATTAAGTGTCCATGTCAAATTTGTAAGTGGTAACTGTGAGCTTAATAGGTGGAAAACCTTGGGTAGGTTTATATAAGGCTTTTAGACAAAGTCAAATGTAGATTCTAAAATTTAAGAAGCATGGCAAAAGGACAGTTGAGTTGCTTATTGCATAAAAATAATACCATCAAATGTGATGTGTCTTCTCTTGTGAGTCAGGTGAAGAGCATTGTGGACTGCAAGAAGAGTACTTTAGTTTATTTACCAGTGTAAAAATGCTCAATTATCATCAAATGGTTGAATCTTTTGCAATGACATCAATGCAGATTTAAAGATTCACAATTCATGCACATTAGTGTGATGACTGCCCCTGAAATCCAGATGATAATACAGATCAGTTCCTTGATTGGTTGAATACTGGTTAGAAAATACACCAACTCCCAGACATGCACTGGTCATGGGCTTCATACTTGCAATATTCCTGCAAAGAGATCAGACCTGCAGGATTTTATAGACATGCTTTGCAGGGCCAGCTGCTGAAAGCCTGACACTCTGAGCTCCAAAATGAAATAGGAAGGCACAGCAAACAATCAGTCGAAAAGGCAATTTCTCAGGCAATCAAAGTGGCCAGTGAGCCTGGGAGAAGGATTCGGGCCCATGAAAAGTTGTAACTAAGAACTGAAAATTATTTGAGTAGTTTTCGAACCAAGATGTTTTAGTTTCTCTTTTGAAACTGTGTTTTGAGATAAACATTCAGCTAAATTCAATTACAGTTCAATCAATAAAAATCTCTGCTTCCCAAACAGACTCCTGTTATAAGCAGAGAGAGGCTGTGAAATACCTTTGGTAGTTCTCCCGAAAAAGTTTGCTAATACCAATAGTTGATATTGGCAGTGCCTTTTCCAACAGACTCTGCCAAATAAATGTCTTAAACTTAGCACTGGAATCAGAGATAGTAATTCATCACAATCCCAGCTGCCTACTCATGCAAACTGCAGATAGGAAAGGAAATCTTCGCTGCCTTGTCAGCGAGAAGCGGCTTGTTCTGAAAGCCCCAAGTTTCCTATTCATGCCAGCAAAGTTATCAGGACCTGGGAGGAGTATTTGGAAAGACTTGCAAATCCTTCTGGTGGGCAGGATTGCAAAGTGGTGTACTTGTTAAAAATAGCCAGGTTCAGATTCTGTAGGTGCTGATAAAGCATCGCTCCGTGCGGGGCAGTGGCGGGGGAAGCCCTGATGAATGGGGATGCTTTTCAGTTTGATTGGCAGTTTGTCATTTCTTTGTTCACTGAGGACAGATTGAGTGGGATATTTAGACTGAAATACATCACCTGTCTTGCAGGAAAGAGAACTTTGAATAACTTAACCTCATCTTTCAGAGCTTACTTCAGATTTCTTTTTGCCTGACTTGTTTTATCTTGGTGTCCAGTGCTGTTCAGCAATATTTTTTCTGCTGCTTCTTGACACTTGAAAAGCTAAAAATAGCAAACATAAAGCATCCTATGACAAGGGAGCAAGTTTTTACAAGGGTTATTGTTTAAATACCTATTGTGCATTTGCTGCCTAGAGTTGCTGAATATGCATTGAAAATCTGATTTTTGTAGCACCTTTTGTGTTGATCTAGGTTATTTTATCCCCTCTCTGTGCAGAGCAGAACAAATAGATAGGTCTGTCAGATCCTTTGAATGGACGAGGAATCATTTATCATTCAGGAAGGTCCTGTCTTGTAAACCTTCCATTATCTTCTATCACAGCCCCCAAACAGAAGCTCAGTCTCTGCTGCTGCATGTTGCTCTAGTTCGGTCCACAAGCAGGTTTTAGGCTTCTGCAGCCCAGCCATAGATGCAGATGTAAAATTGACAGGGCTTGTGCCTTTCACAGGAAAAATAAAAAAGAAGAATAGTCAAGAGAGAAAACAGAAAGAAACTTTTGGTTCATACACCATTATTACTGTCTTGCAACTCCCCACTGCCAGGACTTCTGTGAGCAGAAAGTCAGTAAAAGGCAAAAGGCGTTTTGGGAAAGGTGGCGGTATGGCAAGGTGAAACAGCTTGCAGAATTCAGGAGAGGTGGGGTTTTCTGAAGGAACAAGAGTTCATGTACTGCCATATGCCTCCTTCCTTCCTGTGCTTCCACTGGGAGAAAAGTGACCAGCTTCCCAGTGTCCTGGCTGAGGCTGGGATAGAGTTAATTTTCCTCCTAGTAGCTGGTGCAGTGCTGTGTGTTGGCTGTAGAATGAGGATAATGTTGATAACACACTGATGTTTTAGTTATTGCTGAGCAGTGCTTACTCTGAGTCAAGGACTTTTCAGCTTCTCGTGCTCTGCCAGCGGGGAGACTGGGGGGGCACAAGAAGCCATGAGGGGACACAGCTGGGACAGCTGATCCAGACTGGCCAAAGGGACCTTACACACCATATGGCACCACTTTTTTCTTGTATTCTTTTATCATATCTTTATTATTCCCCCTCTTCCTTTTCTGTCCTATTAAACTTTCTTTATCTCAACCTATGAGTTTTACTTTTTCTTCTCATTCTTTCCCCCATCCCACTGGGGGAAGAGTGAGTGAGTAGCTTGTGGGGGTTTTAGCTGCCTGCTGAGTTAAAGCACAACACCCAACTTGCAGCTCAGAGGGGCTCTGACACACTCCTGTGTGCTTCTGATTTACCTCTGTCCATGTGTAAAAATGAAATTGCTCTGAATGGCACACAGCAGATTGCAAAGTCAGTAAAAATGTGGCACATTTTTATGTGCCATAAATATGGTATTTACATGAGTTTCTTCGTCCAACTGAGTGAGCCCAGCCCAGTGCATACTTCATCCAGGCAACAACAGAAATCCAGTATATTCCACTGAAATGCTCCAACAATCCTTACTGCGAGGGGAGGTCAGAACATGATATCGAAGGGAAGAGTGTCAATAAACATTGAATACTTCACTGCTTCTCAGGATGTGAAAGACACAGAAAAATCTCTTAGTTACCAATCAATCCCCAGAAGAGCTGAGAAAAGGTGCTTTGTTGTTTGTCCTTTGTTCTTCTTCTTTATCTACATACTTTGTTACTTTGGCATCTGTTTACTCCAGTTTTATGAGGAGGTTGTTGTGAGGGAGATGATATTTTTCAGTGACTGGTTTTAAATTATGGTGAAGACAGGCTTGGTAATTCAAATTGGTTTTGCATATGAGCAGAAGAATTTGTTGTGGTGATTGTACAGGATAGCTTCTCTTGAAAATGTGAGCAATTTCTAGACACTTCTTTCAAAAAATAAGTTTCTAGTTTAATGGCTTGAAATGCTGACTTCTTGTTGACATCTTAAAATACCCAGGTTGATGATTTTAAGG